TTCCTTAGCTTTTGCATCTCATTCGCATGCATTATTGGTTGTTGCATTCCATGGTGATGCACAATTCCTTGTATAAACTCTCTTGAAAGTGATTGTCATCAATTACCAAAATGGGGGAGATTGAAAGAACATGCGGTGCCCCCATGTTTGGTTTTGGTAATTGATGACAATCTCTATGGACTAATGGTTGCCTTGAGTTATATTTGAAGGTTTTGTCCATAGGCTTTTCTTGGAGTACATGTGTTGGTTTCAAGAAGAGTTTGTGTTGACCAAGGTGCTATTAAGGAATTATCCAAAGCTTGGTCATGTGAGAGTTGAGCTTATTGCAAGCATGTCTTGAAGAAGAAGATTGTGTGATCATTCATGTTTACCTTCAAGACATCATCCAAATGAAGAGAGTTGGAAAGATTCAAGGTTGATCAAGACTAAGTCAAGAGTGAATCAAGTTGATCAACTCACAAAGCGTAGAAGATGTACCGAGAGGGATTAAGTGATCCCATGGTTTGGTAAGCATTATTCATTGTGCTTTCTGTACTAACCCATGGTCTATGTGAGAGTTCTACGTGGGGTTAGGTACGTGTTCATGGGCTTGCGTCAAGAGGAAGATATCACTCAACCCATGGAGAGGATGACATCAAGTGGTGATCATCATCAAGATTGCCGTGTGCAAGTTCAAGTGGATCATCGCGAAGAGATCAAGTGCTTGAAGCTTGCCGTCCATTGTGGTGACAATGGACTTGTGAAGATGTGCCAAAGAGTGGCTCACCCATAGTGGACTATGGGGGAGCAATCATCTAGTCTTCATCGAGCCAACGCAATCAAGAAAGGTGGTCCAACTTGAGGGAGTCAAGATCGTCATCATCTAGCTCAAGTGGACCATGTGCAAGGCAAAGGTTTGCCCTTGATAGGTTTTCTATTTTACTGGTCTCATGGTGGTAGTTTGGAGACCGGGTTATAGGATCGTTTGCCGTACTATCAAGGGGGGGGGGGCTCTCAAGTTGGTAGCTTGATTGTATCGTTAGTAGAGAGCTCAAACCATTGCATCCTTGCATCGTATTTCTTGGTTCTTGTTTGGTTCTCTTTGTGAGTCTTAGATCTTATGGTCATCTTGATGACAAGCTTGAGTTCATCGAAAACGGAGTTCGCATGCATCTTCTATGATGTTTTCGGTGTTGGAAGTTTTACCGGTCTTTTCTGACGAAGGGTTCTCACCATTTTCTTATGGGCCTTTTCTCATTTGTTTCTTATTGATATTTCTTTGAAGATTGTGTTAGCCCTTGTCGCTAGCTTTCCAACAAACTTGGTTTCATCGAATTCGGAGTCCGTTCGCAAAAGTTGTGGCAGTTTTGGTGTTCTGAAAAGGCTGCAGCGGTACTACCGCGAATTGGAGCGGATGTAATTTTTTACTACTGCTCCAGAGCGGTACTACCGCGGCTCCTACAGCGATAGTACTGCTCCGGACCAAAAACTCGTCCCAAGTCTTGTGGTGGTAGGCCTGGATGTATTTTTTTAGTACCGCTCGCAAGCAGTAGTACCGCTACCATTTGCGGTAGTACCGTGAGGTCGAGCGGTAGTACCGTGAGGACGAGCGGTAGTACCGCTCCGGCAGTTCTACTGGCCTTTTGCCTCCTCGCTGTTGTTTTTCAAAGGGGTACTACCGCCCTAGCGGTAGTACCGCTCCTTGGAGCGGTAGTACCGCTCTGTGCGGGCTGTGAGCATAACAGTTGGATTTTCCCCACCTATAAAAGGGGGTCTTCTTCCCCATTGAACCTTATCCTTTGAGCTCGTGTTCTTTCCCCATTGTTGACCTTCTTCGAGCTTGCTAACTCTCAATCCCTCCATGGATTCTTGTTAGTTTTTGAGGGAAAAGAAAGAGGAGATCTAGATCCACGTTTCCACCAATCACTTTCTTCTCTAGGTGAGGGGAACCCCTTGGATCTAGATCTTGGAGTTCTTGGTGTTTTCCTTTTTGTTCTTCCTTTCATTTTCCTCCCTAGCATTAGTTGCTTTGGTGGGATTTGAGATAGAAGGACTTGGGCACTCCGCGTGCCCTTGCCATTGCATTTGGTGCATCAGTTTGAGTTCTCCACGGTGATACGTGGAAGTGAAGTTTGAGAAGCTTATTACTCTTGGGTGCTTGGGCACCCTAGAGCTTGTTCCTCTTAGGTGCCTTGGCGCCCTAGACGGTTGGTGGTGTTCGGAGCTCAATCATTATGGTGTAAAGCTCCGGGCAAGCATCGGGGTCTCCAATTAGGTTGTGGAGATCGCCCCGAGCAATTTGACGGGTACCGGCGACCGCCCCCAAGGGTTGTCAAAGTGTACGGGTTCGATGACCGCCCCCAAGGGTTGCCATTTGTACGGGTTCGGTGACCGCCCTCAAGGGTCCCTTAGTGGAATCACGGCATCTTGCATTGTGCGAGGGTGTGAGGAGATTACGGTGGCCCTAGTGGCTTCTTGGGGAGCATTGTGCCTCCACACCGCTCCAAACGGAGATTAGCATCCGCAAGGGTGTGAACTTCGGGATACATCGTCATCTCCGCATGCCTCGGTTATCTCTTACCCGAGCTCTTTACTTATGCACTTTACCTTGTGATAGCCATATTGGTTCTTGTCATATATCTTGCTATCACTTAGTAGTTTATCTTGCTTAGCATAAGTTGTCGGTGCACATAGGTGAGCCTAATTGTTTTAAGTTTTGTGCTTGACAAATTAACCGCTAGGTTTATTCCGCATTTGTTCAAGCCTAAACCGTAATTATTTTAAAACGCCTATTCACCCCCCCCCCCTCTAGGCGACATCCACGATCTTTCAAGCGCATCTGGTCTGGCCAAGTGCCCCTCAAATGGAGATCATGGCCTGGAAGACTGTCTCGGATGCTCTAGCGACGAATTCTTGCAAGAAGTTTCGCCATATATCCACTCGGGATACCTGCCCTTTGTGTGGGCATGAAAAGGAAACAAGTTTCCATGCCCTGGTTGCATGCGGGCATGCACGTACTATCTGGGCAAAAATGAGCACTCTCTGGCCTTTGCCGAATCAGGAGATGCTCGTGGATACAGGGAAGGACTGGTTACTGAATATCTTGGCAAACTGTACGGATTTGATGAGGGATTGTGTGATAATGCTGGTATGGAGGATTTGGTCTGTAAGATCAGATTTTACCCATGGGAAGGAGATCCCAAGTGTAACTCTCACGGCTGATTACCTACAAAGTTATTTACGCTACTTGAGGCTGGCCCAAACATACACTATTGATGAAATAATCAAGGTAAAATGCCTGCAATGGAGACTGAGGCGGTTGCTACACACCGGGAAGTTGTTAGTACTCCATGGCCCAAACATACACTACTGATCGAGCTGCATTGTCAGTCGACGGAGCCTTTTCCCCAGCGGATGGGTCAGCGGCAGCAGAGATGGTATTAAGGAGACATGATGGGTCGGTAATTTTTGCCGCATATCGGTATTTGTTCAACTGTAGTGATGCATTGAAAGCCGAGCTACATGCAATAATGCAGGGTATGACATTAGCTATTCAACACTGTAACATGCCCATCATTGTCCAGTCAGATTCCTCCGTGGCCATTTCCTCGATGATTGGTGAAGGACTGTCAAGATCGGCGTATGGTCATCTGGTGAACGAGATTAAACATCTCATGGTAGATAGAGAGTTTATTTCCTTAAAAATTAAGCGTGAGCAAAATAGGGTAGCAGATCGTTTGGCATGCTATAGTCGTACGGAGTGTACTACTGCTGTATGGCTCGGGAGAGGACCACCATGTGTGGAGGATCTTTTGCCTCTGGATTGTAACCCTATGCTTACGGAATAAAACTCTTTTACCCCCGTAAGAAAAAAAAACTTCTAAAAATTACACTGTTCACGATCGATTTTATCCTTTTTACCACGAGCTCTCAAACTTAACAAAAATTTGCATCGAGTACATGCAAAAAGCATCTTGCACCACCATTTTTTTAGATTTTTTTTAAATTTTACTGTTTATCTGAGCTCGGGCTGCGGATTTTGAGTTATCGGGTTTGGAGGCGTTTTCTTGGGCCAAAATAGGCATATTTGACGATGCCGACTCTGCGATGACTGACTGGGTTGGACTTGGGGCTGCCCTCCCCACGGCCACGCTAGACCGCCCGCTCCTGCCAAGATCCAACACAACTTTCCGCCCCCTCGTCCGGTCGTCGGGCCGTCGCCGCCGAACACCGCCCCCCTCCACCGAAGCGCGGCAGCTCGAAGGTAGAGTATTCTTCTCTCCTCCCCCTCCCCCTCTCTACTCGACTGCCGTGGAGCGGGGATCCGTCCGGGCTTGAGATCGATTTCTCCCGTGGGCGACGAACCCTAACCCGCTCGAATTGTCATGGGTGACCTAATCCGAGAAATTTCCTCTAGGACGGATGCCCCAGTTCGTCCAGCTTGTTAAGGATTCGGTTTCTGCGTGTTGGATTACTACTTTACTACTAGTTCCAGTTTAGTTTCGAAGAACAAAATTCTCACTGCGTTGGGGACTTCCTGGCTGGGTACTTCAGTCGATGCCCCTTGTTAATTAAGCATGCCTCTGAATCCACTAGTGCAGCAATAGATATCCGAGATGCTGGATGAGTGGCGAAGTGTTGTTGTGCACATTAGAGAGTAGTAAGGAGCATGTTAATTCGTCGGAGAAATTATCCTACTAGGCTGATAGCTCCCTAGTGCAGGCTATTCTTGCTTCCTAGCGCTTGCGTTCGGAGATGAGATGGCCTAATAAGCATGGTTGCACACTGGCACTGTCATACATGGGTGGCTTGTATAATATGGGTATTCCAATATGTCTTGTGTTGTTCATCTCTTTGGAGGAACTTTCTACCACAGGGTTGCTCTGCTATTTCTTTGTTATGCATGGCAACTTGCAATTGAAAAGTGCAACCTAATTACCTTGCAAGCATTTTAAAGGACCACCTGCGCTCTATGTTTCTCACAGGTTCGTGTTCTAATAAGCTTATTCCCTTGAGGCAGCATGCCTAAGATAAAGACGAGCCGTGTGAAGTATCCTGAAGGATGGGAGCTTATTGAACCAACTCTCCGTGATTTGGAAGCCAAAATGAGAGAAGGTGTGCATATCTGTATAATTTTTAATGCTTGTTGAATCTTTTTCCAGATGTATATTGCTATTTCCTGCTACAGGACGGTAGTAATGTGATCTTTTTTGATGCAGCTGAGAATGATACACATGATGGGAAGAGGAAGTGTGAGGCTCTCTGGCCAATCTTCCGTATTTCTCACCAAAAGAGCCGTTATATATATGATCTCTACTATCGAAGGAAGGAGATAAAAAAGGAGCTGTATGAGTTTTGCTTGGACCAAGGTTATGCAGACAAAAATCTGATTGCTAAGTGGAAAAAGGTTGGTGGGCTTGATCATTTTAGGCATGCATTATTTTGAGCTTGTATTAAGTACTAACTGTGGTGGATGTTTTTCTCCAGTTTGTTGTCTCTTGGGACTTCTGATTATGCAATTATGTTCCAGTTTTGCTAGACTATAAACACCTGAACATCAGCCATCCTCATGAAATATATACTCCCTCCGATCCATATTACTTGTTGCAGCTTTAGTACAAAGTTGTACTAAAGCTGCGACAAGTAATAATGGATCGGAGGAGTAATTAAGATCAGTTCATTTCAGATGCACCTTCCTTGCACACTGACCGTATTTTGCTCACCTATTTTGCACACCATGGCCTTTATGCGAGTACTCCCTCTGTAAACTAATATAAGAGCATTTAGAATACTAAAGTAGTGATCTAAACACTCTTATATTAGTTTACAGAGGAAGTATCATTTATTAACTTATGAATGCACACTCAGACAGACAAGTGCCCCTGCTCCTGACGTGTGCAATTGGACATATTGCCTGAATATCAAGTACCCCATGATGATTTTTTGTTACTAGTGTGCTGTTGCAACTACTAGTATTTGCTACAGACTTACAGTATGTTGGATCATGTTCAGTTCTCTCTCTAGTTTTGTACAGTAATCACCAGAGTTTACCTAGTTCCGAAGCTATGGTTACCTTGTAACAGCTATTTTGATTGCCTTAATTCAACATCCTCATGGCGCACTGCTAACTATTTTCTCTCTTGTCTCTTGCAGCCAGGTTATGAGCGTCTCTGCTGCCTCCGCTGCATACAGACACGAGACCACAACTTTGCAACCACCTGCGTCTGCAGGGTCCCCAAGCACCTCAGGGAAGAGACGGTGATAGAATGTGTCCACTGCGGATGCAAGGGGTGTGCCAGCGGCGATTGAAGTCGCCACTCGTTGTTAAGAATAATCTGAAACCGATTGCTCGAGATGCTCTGTTGGATCCCTGATGAATGAATGAAAACAAGTAACGTACAATCAGGTGATTCGTCCATATATTCACTGTAAACTCTCGAGCCTTGGTATGTCTTTGCGTGAGAAGACTCGGTTTTCTGCCGTGGAAGTTGACAACTGTTTCGCTGAGAATGTTATGTTAACCCGATCTTCCATGATGGATCACAGTAGTATTGTTGTGCCTTGCTGTTACTACTACTCCCTCCATTCCGAATTACTTGTTTTAGATTTGTCAAGATACGGAGGTATCTAGCACTAAAATAAGTCTAGATACATCCGTATCTAGACAGATCCAAGACAAGTAATTCGGAACGGAGGAAGTAGTTTACTAATACCTCTGTAGTTTAATACTTAATACTCCCTCCGCCCTGAATTATTTGTCGTAGAATGGATGTATCTAGAACTAAAAATACGTCTAGATACATCCAACATCCATTTCTACAAAAATTATTCGGGACGTATGGAGTATATGTCAGGACGTTTTTCTGACAGTCATAGTGTCTAAAAATGTCTGATTATAAGTTACGGAGGGAGTACTACTGTGGAGGCACTTTCTTACTACTGGTGTGGTATCAGGTGCTTGTTTTGCTGTGCGTCGACATGCAAACCTTGAGGTGAGGAGCCCCTGGTCTACGGTGTCCCAGCAGCTGCAAAGAAAAACATTTCACGGTCTAGGGTGACGGTGGTGGCTACTGTCTCGAGCTTCCGTCTTGTGGATGACGAGCGAGTTGACCTTGACTACTGGGACTCTCGATCCACGGGAAACGCGTCTTGAAACGGATTCAGACTAGACTTCGTAGCAAAGGACCTCCTCTGCATTTCCTTCGATCGGCGAAATATCGGAACTGCTTTGCCAACGGCAACTGTGGGAGGAATTTGAGGTCCGTCGTGCTGTGCGGCACACTGTACTTGCCGGGCTTGTAATGCACGCGTACGCAGGTACGGTGCCATGCCATCAGCGCTTCCGGCCATGTGAGCATGGCTGCCTGGATCAGAGGGGGTGGCATACGGGCTGAAGCACGAAACTTTGCGTAACTAACGAACGGGCGAAGTGGAAGCACCTGTCGGTAGGGCAGCAAACAAGTGAGTTTGAGCACGAGACGATGAAGGCAATATCTATATGAGGCATTTTTCATTTTTTCAGATAGACCTCAAGTCCTCAACAACATCAACATCATGCGGAAACACTATAAATACTGGTATTTCGATAAATACGGTGATGCGATGTACGCATTTCTTCAGAGTAGCTTGGTTTATTTTCTCATAACTGGAAGGCGATAGTTAATCGCACCATAAGGCAAAGGATTCACGACAGATATGTAATTGGGATACACAACATTAGTGGCCAAGGATCATACAAAGTTCTAGCGTAATGCACCCGTTGTAGGTGTCATTTTTCCGATCGAGCTATGTAAGACGATCATGCTCAAATCAATTCACATCGAGTCCGTCGAGCTACGCAACCAGATCATACTACTCGAGTACGGCTCTCGAAACTTAAGCTTTTGTTGCCGCCCTACCTGTCGACACACCCACACGCCGGTGGTGGTTTTATCATTACTGCCGCGTTGCCTTGTGGATTACGGCGACCACGTCTCACGCGCCCGGCGGGTACGGCGCCAGTGGCGTAAGGCCAACTCTACACGTTCGTTTACTCCGGATTCATTCCGTTTTCGTAGACAATGGGGTTATGTCCGGGTCTATTCTGACTTCTGAGATGCGGTGACCATGCGTCCAACGCGCGGACGCATCCTTTGGCCCCATTTTAACCGTCACGGCCAAAAATGTCCATATATTCATATTTCAATGTTCAAAACTAGTTTGCACGTTTAAATATTAATTGTCTGAAAATAGAAATAGTTTTACAACCCAATTGAAATGGTCTCTATGGCCTTGCAGAAGTTGTACATGTGGACTCACTCATACGCACATACTCATTCACAAGATTGTCTGAAATTCCATATGCAAGCATGCGGATGGCCGCGGTGCATTTCTAGTAACAGGAGAATTCAAACTTGCCAAGGGCATTCGTCTTGCACTCGAAGTATGGGTCATGAGCAAACCACTCTCTCTCGGATACGATTGAACAAATGCCTTGCCATACAAAAACGACGACGAAATTTATCTGGCTTGAAGAGCGGGGTGTTCGCAAAGTAATCGACATAAAGCAGGACGTGACCTCTCTCTCCGTTGCGATTCAGGTTGGGAGCACGGCCAGGGACTGACCCCTGTACCGAGGAAGCTTCCACTCAATGTGGTCGTGAACGACCAATGCAACCACCACAAGATCTTCATCATCCGAGGACGAATCGTCCCACGAATAAATGAAATGGTGGAACAAAAATTTATCTCCACTATCCATGCCTTTGTGGGCAAAGTGTCAAACACCTTGCGGTCGTGGTGGCAAAGAGGCCGCGATGATCACCTCGATGCAGCAGGGGTGGTTGGCGGCCGGCTACTGGCCGCTCTGGAGCACTCGACAGAAGCTACCCTGGTCCATATCCGTCGCCGGCGATCGTATCCCCTTTGGCACCGGCTACGACAGCGACGACTAAATCTCCTCCAAGCGACGACCAAAACTCCTACGAAAGCGCGAGCGTGGTGACGGCCATATCGAGACGTAGTTTGGTATGGACGGACAGGGAGAGGGGGGTGAGCTGTGAGGAGGTGGCCGGAGAATAGTGGCAGCGCCGACAGCGGGGTGGGGCAGGGAAGAGCAGGTGGAGGCGTTGAAGGCGAATGGACTGCTAGTGTCCCGACAGACGGGCCACGGGAGAATAATGGCGTGCGTTTAGCCCGTCCGCGCGATGTTTGTTTTAATTTAAACTTGGCGTAAGTTTAGGTCAGAAATAAATTAAAAAGGAAAACAGACGCACCGGACGGGGTCACGCGACGGAGTTGGCTAACGCGAAAGCGGACGGGCGGGGGACAAACAAAAGGAAAAAAGAGCGCGCACCGTCGCCACGTGACCCCCGTCGTGACTGACTTCCTTGCGGCGCTGGGGCGGTCGCTCCTCCCATAGCCAGAACACAGAAGGGCCATCCGGAGCGGGCGGGCGAGCTCGTTGGTTCGCGATGGCGGCGGACGCGACCACGGCCATGACCATCGACTTCCTCCGCGCGCGCCTCCTCTCCGAGCGCTCCGTCTCCCGCGCCGCCAAGGACCGCGCCGACCAGCTCGCCAACCGGGTACGTGCCTGCGCGCTCACCATTCCCACCGCTCTCCCCCTCCCGCGCATTTTGCCTGCGCCATTGCCGACTGACTGCTGTCGCCGTTGCAGGTCGCGGAGCTGGAGGAGCAGCTCCGGGCGGTGACGGCCCAGCGCCGGGAGGCGGAGCGGGCCGCCGCGGAGGTGCTCGCCATCCTCGACTCCCAGGGCTTCGGCCGTTTCTCCGATGCCGCAGATTCCGGCTCCGACGACGACGGCGCCGGCGGCGCCCCCGAGGCCCCCGGCCACGGGGGCGGCGGCGGGGAGGCGGAGGACGCGCTGTCGGGCTCGGAGCTCGGAGGCCCGGCCGGGGCGCCTCGGCCCGGGGGCCTCTCCTGGAAGGGCCGCGCCGCCAGCCCTGGCGCGGACAGGCGCCACCCGCATCTCAAAGCCAGGCAGCGGCACGGCCATGGCCACAGGAGGAGCTACTTTTACTTGCTCTCCGCGGATTCCTCGCCCAAGTACCAGCCGGGCCAGTCCTGCCGGAAGATCCGGAGGAAGGAGCCGAGGTCCAGGCACACAACGACACAACCACATTTGCTGAAACTGTTCTGTGCTGATTCTTGGTCTGTAGCTGTGCATTGGCCTATCTAACTTGCTGTACTTACACTATCGCTGTAACAGGTTGCAGACTGAAGGTGGGGATGGCAAGGGCAATGCTGCCGAGGGTCTGGAGGAGGACCAGATAAAATCCGATTGCACCGATGAGCAACATGATTTGGATGATGAGGTGGGCCAAGACGGGCGAGGTTCCTGTGGTGGTAGTGAGTATGAGAAGGGTGGGGAGATGGAGAGAGTCCTCGAGAATCAGGCTGCGCTGATTGGGCAGTATGAGGCACAAGAAAATGCTCAGAGGGAGTGGGAGAAGAAATTCAATGGGAGCAGAGATTCAACTTCGGTACGTGCACATTTACTTTCATTCGAGTATCAACCAACGAATTACAGTACTAGATACAGTGGTTATTGTGCTAGTACTTCTTCCCTTAAAAATAAGAGGTAAATACACCGCAAGTCATAGAACTTGCACACGATGGTCAGTTTGGTGCATAAACTTGTAAAATACGTGTTTCTGGTCATCGAACTTGTCCCTCCGTTCATATACGGTGCTTTCTGCCGTATTCAGCCGTATCATGTCAATACATGACGTGCCAACGTGGCAGGGGTCCATTGTCAGCGGTGGGTAACCCGTGTGCACTATTTTTTTTCTTCAGAAAGCACCCTTGCATTTTATTTATTTACGCAAAAAATCCTCAAATAAAATGAAAAATGATGAACGGACAGTGGGATTCAAACAGAACACCTGCTACGATCCGCCACGCTTCAATAACCAATTGACTTACATATTGTTCACACTCTTGGAGCACAATTAGCTTTATATAAGAAATATTGTACGGCTTTAAAAGAAGACAGTACAAGTTAAAATAGAAACCAAAACGAGAAAAAGGGAAGGCACCGGTTCAAACCTATGACCACATTTTTTTAGAAGAACCTATGAACGCGTAAGCTCGCCGCGTGTGGGAGCACTAACCATCCGGCCACAATGAGTTAAAAAAACATCAGCCACAATGACATTTAAATAGATAAACACAATTTATCTTATGTATTCTTCTTTCTTTTTTCTATTTACAATAAAATATAGTTCATAATGAATATACGTCAATTTCTTTCGGACAATCAACAGAACTCATTATAAATTCGAAAATCTAGATAAAAAATTATATGT